GGACAGCCAATAACAATTGCATGAGATAGCTCAAAAAATAATCAGTGTACCACTTGATTTCTCTTATTCACGTTAAAGAATCATGGAGTGCTGGATGTGGTATTTCGTTTCTATGGAATTGGTTTTTTGAACCAAGTCAGCTACCCTTTATTTGGGTTCCATGGCCAACACCAGGTAATACAAATATTTGATACATCCTGTTTTGTCTTTCATATCAAAGAATATTTTCAAGGTTGGGGCATAATTGACTTCAATTATACATAAGATCTTGAACATAGTTGAATTATTTTCATGATTTTACAAAGAAACTAAAGAGGTTCAATTGCTTGATACCATAAAGATACTCAAGAGAGTCAATTACTCGAACAGACCCAAAGGGTCAACTAAAGAAAAATTAATGACTAAAGGAGTGTTGGGTTTTCCTTTTACTGTGTTTCAAAACATTTAATTAGTTGGGTCTATACTATTTTATTTTCTAAGCCCATGAACTCTTTTTGGTTTGTTTTGTTTTGTCTTTGCAAAACCCATAGCCCACTTCCTTGTCTTTTTACCGTTGGAGTAGCTTACAAGAGAAGCGATCACTTTATCTTTTTGGTTAGGCAGAAACTTCGGCTCCTTGTTGTTCTCTTACATTTGTTGCTTCAAAATTCTCATCTCTCTCTTTCATTGCTAAAAATTCTCACATTCTCTTTGGGAAAATTTTGTTGTGCTTCCACAAGAAACTATATAAAAGGGTTGTTAAACACTCTTCACAACAAGTGTGTGTTGGTGGAGGTGAAGCTATAAAAATTTTGGGAGGTTGTCGTGTCGAGAACCTATCACACCGAGTCATCGACTTCAAGGGGCGCGAATCAACCTTTAAGGACAAAATTTCAGCTTGATCTATAGTTTAGTGAGATCGTTCCTTTATTTATATTTCATAAAATATGATTTTAAGACAAATCATTTTTGGGTCTAATTTCTTGGGTCTTTGTTTTAAAAAATTAATTGTGCAAGAATTATTTTTTTTCCATCGTTTTATTTATTCATTAAATAAATTACACAACAAGGAGGAATCGAAGTGTGCCGCTTGATTCTTGGTAGACATGACCTACATGAAAAAAGACTAATTCTATACGAAAATTGTAAGGCATAAGAGTTCGACTACACATGATCCCACTCGTAAGAATTGGTTTTTCCTAAAAAAGCACCCGTTGATCTTAAAACATGAACCAAGAAAGAGAGAGAGAAAAGAAAAAGGGGCATTCATGGCTGACATAGTATGCCGTAATACAGACTGGCTATTGGCTTAAGAGTAGGATCATTGAGCAAGAAGTAACAACAATGGTTGCGTTGAATAAATATGGTGTATCAATTCTTGTGGTCACATGTTTCCATAGAATATAAATTCACACTGGAAGAAGCCAAATACCTTATTTGAGTATCATGGGGTCAACACCTAATGATGAAAATTCTTTTATATTATAGTTTAAACAAGAATTGAATATTTTTAAGATAAAATTATATATTGATGACTAAACTGATAAAACACACTCTTTAGAGACCAAAATTATTATTTAGAGACCAAAAGTGTAATTAACCCTATTTGTTATCTCCATTGACCTAACAAATTTTTAATTATAGTAATTATTGATTAGAATATTGATAAATATTTTTATTTTTTTCAATGAATTATATGTTGAAACTAAATCAAATGATTTTCAAATTAACTATTTTTATCTTTTTTCTTATAGTTAGACTAACAGATCGTTGTGAACAGACAAAATTTTTTAAATTCTATAATGTAATATGATTGATAAAAATATAATTTCAATAAACATAATATAATATTTAATTTAGATACACATATACCTCATACTTTTTATTAGTATTTTAAATACGAAAATTATTCATGTGCAGTGTATATGGTGCATTGCTAGTAGTAAATAAAAGGAGGTAGCCACCTTAGAGGTATGTGTTTTTGTTAATGTAGAGGTCTTAAGTTGAATATCTTCCCACATTCCCTAAGGGCTAATCACCCTTGTCTTTTTAGGAATATGCTTTAATTTACCTCAAATTACGGTGGGCAGTCGCTAAATTCAAGAGAGTAATTGATGCAAGTTTAGACACCCTGTAATAAAAAATAAAAGAGCCCAATGGTAAAAAATAAATAAAAATAAAAAGAGGTAGTCCAAAGGATTTTTGTAATTACAAGTTTTGGGAATGATCAAATATATACCATCTTATCTCATATGTGAAAAGAATAATTTTGCAACTTGAATGATTAACGCCTAGGTCAAAATTGAGTAACCTTACCTTTACAATTGTCCCAGCTAGTTTTCATAATATTAAACATATCCCCTTAGGGATAGTGGTTTTTTACTTATCCTTGTTGTTTTGTTGAAAGAAAAAAAGAAAGGCAACTATTATGGCGACTGCTAAGAGAAAAAAAAGTAGGTTCTTCTAGTAAGGGAAAAAAAATACAGAGTTTTAAGTGGTATGAATGGTCAAGTTCAACAAATAAGTAATTGTTATATAATTGCTTATACTCACAACAATGATTCTTTTAATTATGTTTTAGACATCCAACAATAATGATATATCAAAATGTCATTTGCTCCTATCGAATACACATTGAATTTAAATAACCATGTTAAGTTTACATTATCATTCAATATTTGTAGGGTTAGAGTGATTTGGCTAAAGAAATGAAAAGAATAAATACAATACGATTTTACCGATAGGGATATCGCAATAAGGTAACCTGATCCTAATACTGATGCAAAAAATTGTATTTTTTTTATAATAATATATTTTACTAAGATTTCTTTTTCTTTCTTTTTGTAAAACTAGGTTGTTGAATATTCTCCCAATTTGCGGTTACGCATATGTATTAACACAAAAACATTCATGAAAATGAGGAAGACAAAGTTCAATGAACTTTGTGGATGTTGAATCAACAAACATTAAAAATAATAGTCAACTTATATTAATTAGTGCTTTTTTTTTTTCAACTTTTTAATTCATAAGTTTGATTTATGTTGGTTACATATTGATTGACGATTTTTCTCAAATTTTTTGATGGACGATTTTTGGTGTTATATAATGTCTTCAAGCATGAATGATTACTTGCAATTGTTTTTATTTGTTACACAGTTCACACACGAGTATTTACTAGTCTTACTATATTATAAAACAATTAAATTAGGTGGGAGGTGGCTTGAGAAATTTTTTCTCTCATTTTTCTTTTTTCTTAGGATTTTTAATTATTTAAATTATCATTTCACCAACTATGTTCTAAAACATATATCAGGTAACTACTTATTTATCCCAATAATTAACTATCACTCATTCAATATTTTTAAAAAAATGAGCCACTAATTTAAATTTTTTAGAAACATAGATTCACCACTATAACTTTACATAATTATTTTATCAACCTATTTGTTTATGTATAAGTTGTTATCTAATTTTTTTAATGGTATGATATCAATAAAAAAAAAAGTAGATGGGGATATGTGTAATTTTCATGCATAACACGGGTCATCACTAGTTTAATTATTAAAACAGACGGTATTGCTATTTTCTTATATAATTGAGGATCTCAATATGAAAATTTTATTCGGTATAAATTAAGAAGAAAAAGTTCTAATTTACCCTTGAAGATAAAAAGGTCACGGTATACTTCTCATATGATTAATTTTTTATATTGCCCCTTTTAAAAAAATAAAAACGTTTCATTTTTATTGCAATGTTTTTGGATGTAGATTGCAATATTTTTAGACCACATTATAATATTTTTATTTCTTTGATGGAACAATATGATAAAATTAATCATTTAAAGAATAAACTAAAAATATATGTATCTATTAGGAAAAATTTTAGTCACACTCCCTCTAGTTTATTATATCTTTAAAAACAACCCCTCTATTATCCAAAACATTATTTACACCCTTTCTAATTTATATTTAAACATTACTAAGACTCTCTGCCATTAAACCACAATTTCTAATAAATTTTTTTTATCTAAAATACCAAAATTGCCCCTACGTAAAACCCAAATAATTTTTTACTTAAAATTCAAGCCTATTAAAATTTATTTGTTTTACATATTAAAATTCGAGTTGATTAATTTTTTTTACATATTAAAATTTGATTTGAGCTTATTCAACTTTTTTTTTTTACGTATTAAAATTCGAGTCTATTAAAAAAATTTACGCATTAAAATTCGAATCGATTTGTGCTCAACCTGAGCTGTTAGCGCCGATTAAAATTTATATTTTTTTACTTATTAAAATCAATGCCAATTAAAATTCAATTCAAATTGGTTAAAATTTATTTTTTACGTATTAAAATTTGTGTTGATTAAAATTTATATTTTTTTATTTATTAAAGTTCAAGCCAATTAAAATTTAATACAAGTTGATTAAGATTTGATTCAAGTTGATTAAAAATGAATTTTATTTGACGCGAATTAAATTTTAGTTTACCCGAATTTTAATACGTAAAAAAAAATTATAAAATCAAGAGGGTCTTACTGAAAATATGTCTATCTAGAAAGAGTGTATATGAAGTTTTTCTTAAAATATATCATAGACAATTTAATAAAATTGTATTTCAATTAATGTCTTTAAGATGATGAGGGGTGTTAATAAAGATTCAAAAATTAAAAGAGGTATCTTTAAAGATATAATAAATTAGAGGGGGAGTGACTGAAACTTTTCCTAAAGACAAAATGAAACTTTTCCAATTAAGAATTCAAAGATATTTTAAAGTGTAAAGTATTATTACTCATCTATAAAAATATTCAACAATTATAATTATAATAATGCTATTAGACAATTTTAGTAAATCGAAAATATTAAAAAAGAAGAAGAAGACACGTATCAACTATAGATACGTCATCTCTTCTTCCTTTTCTCTATGTAGGCGAATCATAAACTTAAAACGTTCGAGTTTGACCCTTGCTAAGACTCAAGCCAGCTTCTACTCTGCTTCATCCATATAGGTTGACTGCTTAGGCAAAGAAAAAATCAGACGGAAATGGCTGAAACTGCTTTTGATAAACTATTGCGGAGTTTTAATCGCCTAATTTCTCGGTATGGATCTTTTTGTGGAGGTCCGCAACATCACAGGGATCTAAAACTCCTGAGGACCTTCGTCAACAAATTAGTTGAGAAAAACCACGAACAGAATGAAGTGAAAATTCTGGCGAACTCCATTAATGATGCGAACCAGAAAATAGCCAATGCCTTCATATCATTTCAGCGCTGTCAAACTGGCACTTACGAAACTCTCCCCAGCATCATAGAAGATGTTACGGTTATCTCAACAGTGGTGCAGAAAATTTGTATCAAATTGCCTGATATCATATGTTCTCCAAGAGCTGACACGATAGTAGTTGAGGATGAAACTGTGGTGACCTTGCAATTTGGAAGTTCATCGACAACAGGTCCCGAGGAAGAAACGGTGGTGGGCTTTGATGAGGATGCCGTGAGGGTAGTGCAGCGGCTTACCGGAGGAGAGGAGTTGGAAGAGTTCTCAATTGTCGGCATGCCCGGAAGTGGTAAGACAACTCTGGCCAGAAAGGTGTACAATGATCCTTCTATTACATCTCACTGTTGGGATTTCTCACGATTTAAATTCACTAACAAACACACACAATCGAAGAACAAATCAAGAATATAAAGCAATAAGAAACAAGAAAGAACAAGACACAGATTTTACGTGGTTCGGCAATTTGCCTACGTCCACGAAGCTGCAGGGATTTCACTATTGAGAGAGTTGAAAAATAGAGAGCGGCTGTACCATACACTATATATATAAACCTTAACACCAAAACAACAGGGTTTATATGTCCTATGCACTGGGCTGTATAACGGGCCCAAAAAAATTTTCCTCGGGGGCGTTGCCCCCGAACCCCCACGAGGCTTGTCCATGAGCGCTACAGCTTGGGCCTATCGGCCCAAGCCTTCGCTCCATAGACTAAGCCTCAGAAAATTTTTCATTAAAAACCACACAACATTATTTTGGGTCGGGTCATCATCCGGATCACATATACAAACTAGACTCCATAAAAATAAACCAACACTCACTTCAGTGTTCGAGCATGGATCGATGTTTCTAAAGCAGACCCACGGAGATATTCTCAATGTTTTGTTATCCTGGTTACTGACCAGATTTATAAATTGAGTGTTGAAGAGCTGTGGGAAAGGCTTGGTAGATTCTTCAATGGCCAGAGATATCTTCTTGTCATCGATGGTAAATGGGGTATGGGGTTAGGTGGCTATTTGATGAACATTCTTCCAAAAGGCAATGGAAGTAAAATTATGTTCGTTACTGAGTTGGCGGGGCAGAACCCCATTCGTCTGAAATCTTTAAATCTAGATGAAAGTTGGGTTTTGTTGCAAAAGAAGGTATTTGGGGAAGAAAGCTGCCCTCAAGAGTTATGGGATAGTGGAAAGCAAATAGCAGCAAAATGTCATGGACTATCACTCACAATAGTAGTCATAGCAGGACTTCTTGCCAAGGAAGAGAAGACCCAACATTTTTGGGAGCAAGTTGCCCAGAGTATAAGTTCGTACGTGGCTGTGATACTTGTTTTCTCCTTCAAGTTTGATTATTCTCTAGAACGTGCTTACTCCAAAGATATTGAGAAGTCTCTAGACCTTCGTTACATCAATGAAGAAATTGAGGTATTTTCCTCTTGTGATTTACACCTTGGTGTGTTTGTAAGGCTTATGCCTTTTGGCCACTTTGTAATCTGATTTGGTGATAGTGGAAGAAACTGACCTACCGGTCGTCGTGAATGTACCTCAAGTTATTTGAGGGAACCACGTAAATCTTGTGTGCTTATTTATTTTCTGTTATTTTATTTATATTGCTTCCATTGATTTACACTTGTGGGAAAGCCTATTTTCCCAACATCTGGTATCAAAGCAATTGGTTAATTCGGTTCCGATTCGTTATATTTATGTGTGTGAATTATGGACGGCAACGTTGGACGTATGGTTAGTTTCAATGGCACAAATTGGGTGACTTGAAAAACTAAAATGGAAGATCTTTTATTTTGTAAAGATTTGAATGGACCTATAGAGGGTGATAGTGGCAAACCGGAAGGGATGAAAGATGACGAGTGGAAAAAGCTAGATCGGAAAGCTGTCGGTTTTATTCGGCAATGGATTGATGATAGTGTCTTTCATCATGTCTCTATAGAAAAATCTGCACATGGTCTTTGGACCAAATTGGAGAGTTTGTATGATAGAAAGACGGCAGTGAATAAAGCCTTTTTATTTCGAAAGCTTGTGAACTCTAAATATAAGGAGGGTACTTCTATTGCAGAGCATTTGAATGAGATTAAGAGCATTGTGAATCAGTTGGCCGCCATGAAAATTACTTTTGATGATGAGTTGCAAGCTTTGTTACTTCTTAGTTCACTTCCCGAAAGCTGGGAAACTTTGGTGGTCACAGTTAGTAACTCCGCACCTGATGGAGTGGTAACAATGAGTCAAGTTACTAGCAGTTTGTTGAATGAAGAAACAAGAAGAAAATCATCAGGTTCTTCTTACTCCGAGGCACTTGTAATGGAAAACCGGGGGAGAGGCAGGAGTAAGAGTAGGGTTCCGCACAACCGTGATAAATCTAGAGGTCGTTCAAGCTCGATGTCAAAAAAGGATGTTGAATGCTATTATTGTCACAAGAAAGGGCACATGAAGCGGGAATGTAGAAAACTCAAGTTCAAGGAGCAGAACAAAGAGAAAAATTCAGAGAAAAAGCAAATTGATACAGCTGTAGTTACCGATGATGAACTCATGATTATCCGTGATGATACTAGCGTTAATTTGATTGGCCAAGAGACGGATTGGGTAATTGATTCTGGAGCTTCATTTCATGTTACTTCGCGGGCTGATTTCTTTACTTCTTACTCACAAGGTGATTTTGGGAATGTCCGTATGGGAAATGAAGATGTGTCAAAAATTGTCGGCATGGGTGACATTTGCTTGGAAACAAATATTGGATGCAAATTGCTGCTTAGAGATGTGAGGCATGTACCAGATATTCGACTCAATTTAATCTCTGCTGGAAAGTTAGATGATGAAGGCTACATCAACAATTTCAGTAATGAAAAATGGAAGCTCTCCAAAGGTTCTCTAGTGGTAGCAAAAGGAAAGAAGACTTGTTCTCTTTACACTATGCAAGCAAAAATCTGCAAGGGTGTTGTGAATACCTTAGAGAATGACTCATCCACTGATTTATGGCATAGAAGGCTTGGACATATGAGTGAAAAAGGATTACAAGTTTTGTCCAAGAAAGAGCTTCTAGTGGGGATAAAAGGTACGCCTTTGAAAACTTGTGTTCATTGTTTCCATGGTAAACAAAACAGAATATCATTCCGTAGAAACATTGCATCTAGAAAATCTCATGTTTTAGATTTGGTACATTCTGATGTATGTGGTCCTTTGAAAGTTAGGACACTTGGTGGTGCTCTATACTTTGTCACTTTTATTGATGATCACTCTAGAAAAGTTTGGGCTTATACACTGAAAACTAAAGATCAAGTTCTAGATGTGTTTAAGATTTTTCAGGCCAAGGTTGTAAGAGAAACAGGTAGACAGTTGAAATGTGTTCGCTCGGATAATGGTGGTGAATATATTGGACCATTTGATCAGTATTGCACAAATCATGGTATCAGGCATGAAAAGACAGTTAAAAAGACACCTCAACAGAACGGGGTTGCAGAGAGAATGAATCGCACCATTCTTGAGAGAGTCAGATGTTTGCTCTCACATTCTAAATTGCCAAGATCCTTTTGGGGTGAGGCAATGAGGACCGCAGTTGATCTTATCAATTTGTCTCCTTCAGTTCCGTTGAATGGTGATGTGCCAGAGAAAGTTTGGACAGGGAAGGAAGTCTCCTATGATCACTTGAGGGTATTCGGCTGCAGAGCTTTTGTTCATATTCCAAAAGATGAAAGGTCCAAGCTTGATCCAAAAGCAAAGCAATGCATATTTCTTGGCTATGGGCATGAAGAATTTGGATACAGGTTGTATGATACAGTTGACAAGAAAGTTGTCAGAAGCCGAGATGTTGTTTTCTTGGAAGATCAGACTATTGAAGACATCGACAAGCTTGAGTCAGCTGAGTCTAGTACTGATGATCTTGTTGATTTAGATCCTCTCAATCCCTCTGCTGTTCATGATATTGATGAGGAAGTGCAAACACCTCATGATGATGCAGCAGAAGATGATGTTGAGCCAGAGATTGAGGGGGAGCAACCACCCCAAGAGCCACTACCACAGACACCGTTAAGGAGATCTACTAGAGAAAAACAGCCATCCAGAAAATATTCTTCAAATGAGTATGTGATGATATCAGATCAGGGGGAGCCAGGGACTTATCAAGAAGTCTTGAAGCATGAGAACAAAACTGAATGGTTCAAGGCAATGAAAGAGGAAATGAAGTCTTTGCATGAGAATCACACCTATGATTTGGTGAAGCCGCCTAAAGGGAAGAAAATTTTGAAAAATAAATGGGTCTTCAGACGAAAGAATGATGGGAACAGTTCTCAACCGAGATTCAAGGCACGACTTGTCGTGAAAGGTTTTGATCAGAGAAAGGGAGTTGATTTTGATGAGATCTTCTCACCAGTTGTGAAGATGTCCTCCATTCGAACTGTGCTTGGTATAGCTGCGAGTATGAATTTAGAAGTTGAGCAGCTTGATGTGAAGACCGCATTTTTGCATGGTGACTTAGAAGAGGAAATTTATATGGAGCAACCTGAGGGCTTCAAAGATAAGGGTAATGATCAGTTAGTTTGCAAATTGAAGAAGAGCTTGTATGGATTGAAGCAAGCACCGAGGCAGTGGTACAGAAAATTCGATGCTTTCATGAGTGAGAATGGGTATTCAAGAACCACTTCAGACCATTGTGTGTTTGTGAAGAAATATAAAGATGGTAATTTTATTATTCTCTTGCTTTACGTTGATGATATGCTTATTGTGGGCCAAGACACGAGTAAGATTAGCAAGTTGAAGTCAGAGTTGAGTAAGTCCTTTGCCATGAAGGATTTGGGTCCAGCAAAGCAAATTCTTGGGATGAGAATTGTTCGTGACAGATCACATGGGCTGATTTGGTTATCTCAAGAGAATTATATTAAAAAGGTTCTTGAGAGGTTCAATATGGACAAAGCAAAGCCTGTTAATTGTCCACTTGCAGGCCACTTCAAACTAAGCTCAAGTCAGTGTCCTACAAGTGATGAAAAGAGAAATGAGATGCAGAAAATTCCCTATGCTTCAGCAGTTGGTTCTTTGATGTACGCCATGGTTTGTACTCGACCGGATATTGCTCACGCAGTTGGGGTTGTCAGTCGATTTTTGTCTAATCCAGGGAAAGAACACTGGGCAGCAGTGAAATGGATTATGAGGTATCTTCAGGGCACTTCAAAGATGAGTTTGTGTTTTGGTAAAGGCGAGCCTATTCTTGATGGGTTCACAGATTCTGATATGGCTGGTGATGTTGATAGTCGAAAATCTACTTCTGGTTATTTGATTACTTTTGCAGGGGGAGCAGTGGCATGGCAATCAAGATTACAGAAATGTGTTGCTCTCTCCACCACAGAAGCTGAGTTCATCGCCATCACTGAAGCTTGCAAAGAATTATTGTGGTTGAAGGAATTCTTACAAGAGTTG